AAGCACCACACTTAATGATTGTGCACGCTGAGGAGCTATTTTGCTGAAGTGTCCCAGATAAAGAAAGCTTCCCACAATAATTATATCACACTGAAGTCACGGGTCGCGCTCAGGATAACAAATATATATATATATAAGTGTGTGTGTGTGTGTGCGTGTGTTTGTGTGTGTAAGTTAACAGGATTAAATTAGCTTGGATATACCTGAGGAAGATCCCCATGTTCAGCCAAAGAGCCTTTTCCAGACAGAAACAAGTCAATCGGGCTCATCTTTGGCGTCATCAATGGTGACCTTGGAGTCATGCTGCCTGCCGATGATGTAGTCATCCCATGATCAGACTTTGGGCCAAACCTAGTTCTGCACGACATGGAAGGCAAAACTTTCATATCATCCATGGCAATATTGTTTTCTGCCTCCGGCAAACAGTCCAGCATATCCTCAGACCCTCTTCTGGACCAATCGCTAAATTTGGGAGAAACGAGCTCCGACTCCTCAGTCACGCTCGAGTTCGACACTTTAGCGCCATCTGGACTCCCGGCAACATGCTGCATGTCCTTGGCCGAATAAGATTCCATCAGCTTTTCAAGAGTGTCGGCAATCCTCATGAGGCGCTCGTTCACCCTAAGACCCTGCTGATCACACCTGTCAGCAATAGCACATACTCTAGAATGGTCCTCCACATGTAAAGTCGGAACTTCCTCTTCACAAATGCGGCATATTATCGAGCTCTCGTCGGTTACACTAGGCTGATCACCCCAATAGCCCCATGAAACTTTGTGCTGGTGTTTTGGCATCACAGTTGGCGCATGTGTGTCTTTATTAGAGGGAGGAAGCTCGGGCGCCTTTGCATTAGCCAAATAACCATCACTGTTGTTCTCTCTTTGATTTTCCAACATTCGTGAGGCTAAAGTGATACTGTCACCATGCTCTTCCTTAACTTTGACGACAGCTTCTTTCGGGCTCTTTCCAGAGGGAGTAGGAAACTTCTTCCAAGATGCCATTCGATTCCTACCCGATTTCGATTCTGAGTTTTTTGTGGTCTCAAGAGGTGAAACGAGAGAACTTCCGGCTCCCATTTGGTCATTTTTCCAGTTTGATTGCTCTTGACTGTATGACTTCCTTGTACAGGGCACCAGCACAGATTTTGTGTCGACTGCCGTCTTCCCTTCTTTTCCTGGTCCTGAAGGGGCTTGCTTTGATGGAGGCTGAAGTGACTGTCGAAGATGAAAAACATGCTCGTCCTCAGCCAACCCACTTTCCTTGTGAAACTGCAACAGTCGAGTGCATCTGGTGAGTATAAAAAGCATTCGCGTGTGGAGCTGCTTTAACATGCCCATTGGAAGCTCTTGACGCCTATCGTCCAGCTCTTGCACTATGCCTTCACATTGGAGCCAAAATTCTCCTGGGGTACTCATAGCACAGCTCCTAGCTAGGATGAGCAAGTCCTCTATTTTCTCCTGCCAGTCTGGAGTATTATCTGCATTCTTTTCTAGGATTCCAACTAGATCTGCTGCAAAGATATGCAGGTCGGAATCTACTTCCTCCTTTGCTTTGTCAAATTTTGTCCGGATCATAGTTAATATCTCCTGTTACAGTTTTAGGATAATCATGTATATCAAGAAGTAAAAGAAAAAGCTGTCTTACTTGACATGACATAATAATTATATTAAGAAACTAGCTAGTAATTTTCTTTTCTTTTATTTATTTTATTTTTTCTTTTTATTACTACAATCACCAGGGAGATGCAAAGTTACTGAAATCAAAAGTTGACAACTGCATGCATAATCTACTTTAGTTACCTCCACGTTATTCAACCTTCTAGGTTTCCAAAAGGGGTAAGGTCGGACACCTTTTGAGTTCAATTCATGAGAGAAACTTTTAATATCGCCAGGAAACCTTTTTCGAGGGGCACTTGTCACACGGAGTATGGCTTGAAAGCGCGGAGATTCTGACTCTTTTGGATTGTCACAGTCATACGATGTCTACAAACAGATTTAGAAGTCAGTTAGTTTATAAATGCCACTCGTATTTAATTTTATCGGGAAATAGTTAGACATTGTATGCGTTTTAGCATCAAAGAAGATGCACCTTTTTACCTTCATCTCTGGAGTACATGCATCAGAATTACTGGGAACTACAGAATCACCCCATGATGAATCAAATTGCCCTGAGTTAGCAAAGTTAAATTTGTGAACGCAAAACTTCATTACGTAAGGCTTTAAATTAAAAGCATTCTTTACTTTTAATTATAAATAATATATATATGCCCCTCATATAGCATATGCCGCAGTTGCACATAATAATGTCACATGGAAGGCCGCGAATTAAACCTTTAACTTATAATCATCATCATTACTCCCAAAATAAACTTGAGCATGCTACATACGTATGAGGCGAAAATTGAACGAAAAGGTAATCATGATAAGAAGCAAAATATTTAGCTTATTTGGCAACTAAAATGATGAGAGTGTGGGCGAATAAATATTACAACAACAAGTAGAGAAGATAAAAGAAGAAAAATACTAGAAGGCAAAATTTAGGCTTATTCAATTGCTTCAGAATAGTTATCTCCGGTTTGGTAAAAGGGGACATACTATTGTAATCTATGGCTCATATAATGATCATTTTATATTTATAAAAGAAAGATTCTCCATATTTGGTTTCTAGTTTTCTCCTGAGAGTATATATGTAATACATACGTAGAAAAATAAGGAAATGTACAGCCGTCCCCGTTGACATGGATGAAAATCAGATAAAAAAGGACTCAATGCGATCATACTAATATTTCACACACCCTACCATGAAAAAAAAATGTTACTCAGATAGTTCTCATTTCTTCCAACTATTGGATAATTTTATTTTAGTCAAAGGTGCAATAACATGCAGTAAATCTTCCATTATATGCAGGCTAAATTTCTACAAAGAGGCAATAGTAGATTCACGGACACCCCACCCAGGAATAATAAACATACTTTTTCATAATATTACTTTCCATTATTTCAAATTGAATTCTTCATTGACTCCTCCAATCGACCCCCCGGCAGAAGAAAACAAACAAACAAACTGACTGACTGATTATAAAACATGCAGGATAATTCCAATAAAAGGTTGCTCCATCAATTAATATGCCCTGTCAAACCTGAATCAAAACACACAGTAGCCATTTTTTCACCAACTAAAACAAATCACAGAAATGTTAACTAGATGTGGAAATACAAAGATACCAGAGAACACCCTTCTACATAAATTACTTGCATCAAAGCAATAGCAAATGAAGTTAGCAAAAAGATAAAGATGTGGCATGTAACTTTTAACAATATTATGAGCATTGTTCCTAAAATTAGCACTAAAGAACATATAAGTTCATTTTACAAAGGCAGCTAGCCACATATTTCTACACATAATAGCAGGATCCTGTCGTCGTGGATTCTCCATGACAGCAAATTTCAATTCATTTGAAGTATGTGACTAAGTCAAATCATAGTATAACAGAAATTACTCCCATAATACTACCTTTCACTGATCTCATACCCCACATCATAAACACACACAACCCAATTAACAAAATTGCAACCGAAATAATGAAGTGCAAACCAACATAGTCCACAAAATTAAAAAAACTGATCATAGTGAAACAATACCAGTAGGCTCAGATGAAGATTCAGCATTTTGCAGCCGCGAACGTTCTTGAGCCTGGAACACGTGCGGGCTCTGATCCCTCGATGCCCCGCTTTCAGTGGACATGCTGTCTGAATTGCTCCCATTATCCGCATTCTCAAGATTCTTCTTCTTACCACTCGAACCACCTTCAGCCCCGCCAATGGCCCCAAATGGCCTGGACAGATTACTGGCGCCCAACCCTACTCCTTTCTCTCGACCACCAAAATTGAAGAAACTCTCCTGGGGCAGCGGCCCCGATCTCGTTTTTATCTTGTTCAGCCCTAAAGATGACGCAACTAACGGCGACATGGACAGTGGAGACGGCTGAGCCGCCGCCGGAGGTGCTGACTCGTCGGATTTCTTCAACTTGGACGAGGATAAGGATGAGGTGGAGATTTTGGAAGCGGGTTTGGTCAGACCGAGCGCCTCCTTGCCCTTGGAGGAGCCTTTCTTCTTCAGGATGCTCCGGGCGGCGCTCGTCGGAGTACTGGCGGCGGAGGACCCGGAGGCGGCGGCCGGGGAGCTGTCCTTGGAAACGGACGGCGACAGAGATTTGGGCTTTTTCTTGTCGGATCGGATCGGCGAATTGGAGTTGGACCCGAGAGATCGAGGGCTGTTGGAGGATCCGTCGGGGCTCGAAGTGTCTGACTTCTTGGAGGAAAAGAATCGGCCCTTGAACACCATTTCCGTTTTGCTTTCGGATTTCTGCTTTACAGATGAAAGCTTCTTTTATTTATTACTTTTACAGGACGAGAATGGGAGTGTAGGGCTTGGGCAAGAACGATTCAGCAGCCACAGTAGAAGAATCCATGGCGGAGGAAGACGATGGGCACTGACAGTGAGGAAGAGCGTTTTCCTTTTTCTTTCTTTTTTTTCTTATTTTTGTGCTTTTTTTAGTGTGTGAGTGTGTGTTGTGCGTGTTCTTTCTTCTAAGTTGAGCGGTTTGGAAAAAGGGGGGTTGAACATAAATGTGAAACAACAAGGAAATGACCTTGACTCTGTAAATTAACGCTATTAGGGAGGGGTTTATATATTTTTGTTGGGTTAAAGAAAAAAGGAAAAAGAATCAAGAAAATATGTACTGGCTCACATCTCACAAACTCTCTCACACACACACACGCATATGCATATTTCCCTCTAATAAAATTCCAAATTTCAAACTTTAGGTCCAAATGAATTCAAGTCTCATCATACGAGCTAGTTGATCACTTTTTATTGATTGTAACTATTTGAGATGTGTTTACGCGTTGGGGGTGTTCTGTTGTTGCATTTGACTATTGATATTTATCAATGTGTGTGTTTATGTTTTCCATTTCTCATAGTGTTTTTATTTCTTTCATTCATTTCTTAAAAAAAATGTATAAGATGATCTATTATTTTTATATGTGCATATCATAACAGAATCGATATTAATTTGTCGTTGGTGTTGTTTTCACGTGAATAATATGATCTATTATTTGCACATATGCATATCATAATAGTTGTATTTAAAATTATGACATATCAAGCATGTTTATACGTGTATCTTATTGCGTCTGCGCAGGGGCGTCCCGGTCAAATCGGGGGCCCAGTGCGAAATTCCAAGATGGGGCCCTAATGGCCTATTAAAATTAAACAATAATAACAAATAACATATAAATGGGATATTTCAAGAATTATCGTATCTACTGTTCACTTGAAGAAACTTATTCTTTGGGCATTCTTTAAAATAAAGTCTTCAATGATGCGCTCATAACTAATCTTCTCCAGTATGTCACTCTCAATTGCTATCATAGCCAAATCATTGAGCCTTTCTTGTGTCATTGTGGAATGCAAGTAGGACTTTAATAGCTTCAACTTTGAAAAGCTCCGTTCCGCCGACGCAACAGTCACGGGAATAGTCAACATAACTCTATATGCAATACTTGCATTTGGAAAGCAATCATGTCGCTTTAAAAATTTCAAAATTTCAACTGGCTCCATATCATCCTTAGGAATGAAATCTTGAAGAAACTTCAACTCCACATACAGTTCATTGGCATCAATATCCGAATTCCCATCTTTTGCAAGGGCAACCTCAAGATTCTGACAAGATGATTTCAAGCTCTTAGTATCTAATGATTTCAATGCAGCAGAAATAAATAAGAAACCAAAATTTTTCTGGTAACTTTGATACTGTTCAAATCTTCTTGTAAGTGAGGCAATAGCCTGATCAACGATAGGAATAAAATAGCTGATTCTAAATGATTCTTCCGTAGACTGTGTGGCCAAGTTTGTGTCATCCGGGTTCTCATCAAATTGTCTTTTTCTTGTAATTTTTTGTTTCTTACGAAATATTGTACCAATATCCATCTCAAGTGCAATTCCTTTGGCTGTCTCTAGTGCCTCCAAGAAACCAGTTTCCCTGTACTTTTTGAAGAAAGAAATCAACCCTTCCACTTTCTCAATAGCAACATCAATAAGCATATCCTTTGCTTGCAAATGTTTGCTCACTAAATTAACAGCATACAATACTTCATACCAAATGACTATTGCCAGTATAAATTCAAACTCTCCGAGTTCATTATTTGCCAAACCTTTAGCCTCGCTACTTGATCCAGGATCATTATCAGTATCGGATACCTGAAATTGGAATAAAGAAAATATGTATTAATATTTGTTAACCAAAGGGATTACATCGTTATCAATAAAAAATAAATCAATTACCTGAAGCAGAGCCTCTCGAATGTCTGCACATTGAAATCGAATAGCTTTAACACTTTCATTACGACTATCCCAACGTGTAGCTGACACTGACTTGAGGGACAATCCTGATATGTTATCTTTCAGAATCTGTCATTTCTTAGTTGACTTAGCAAAAGTGGTGTAGATGCATTGGATTATTCCAAAGAAGTCTTTAGCACAAGATTTGGCCATATCACAAAGTGTTAAATTAAGACTGTGGCAACCACAAGCAGAATAGAAAGCTCTAGGATTTACATCCAAGAGTTTCTTTTGTACTGCTTGATTTTTTTCCTTTCATATTTGACCCATTATCATAACCTTGTCCTCTCACATCATCTATATCAAGACCAAGACTCTTTAATTCACTTACTAGGACATCAAAAAGGCCTTGCCCAGTTGTATCATTTACATCTGAAAATCCCATAAATGATTCTTCAATTTGAACATCAATTGACGATAAATCCACATATCTTATAATCAAAGACATTTGTTCTTGGTGGCTTGCATCGGGAGTACAATCAAGAATGACAGAGAAATACTTTGCACTCTTTATTTTCTTAATAGTTTCAGACTTAATAGCAGAAGCAAGCAGGTGTATCAACTCATTCTGAATTCTAGGCCCCAAATAATGGACATGAGTTTCTTCGTTTGTAAACGACGAACATGCTCTTGAATAACTGGATCAAATTCAGCCAACATTTCAATTAAACCCAAGAAATTCCCATTGCTATCATCATACAGTTTGCTATTATGGCCACGAAATGCTAGATTATGCTTGGCTAGAAATTTAACAATGGCCACTATTCTGAAGAGAACTTTTCTCCAGTGCTCTTTTTCTTTCTCAAGTTGTCATTGAGCATCTTTATCAATACCTTCACCCTTTACCAAGTTATTACGCAGATCATACCAAGTAGTCATATTCAAAACATGATCAGAACTTGTTTCATGCTCACCAAGTCTTTCATAAAGATGTGTCCAATCATTAAACCCATTATTTGCCAACTGACCTTTCCGATGCCCATTTGTAAACAATTTAGCAGAAGCAAAAAACTCTATCTAGTTCTTTGGAATACACAAGCCAATCTCTATTGCACCCCTCCCCATTTCGTAGGATTCTAGTATAGGCTAGTGCAGAAAACCTTCTGCCATATCTATCCTTAGGACCTTTCACAATGGATAAATCTCTTCTAGGACCCTTTTGTGCTAAAATGTCAATCTGCCTAGGACCAAGGGAATCCCAATACCTTGGATCAAATATGTCAGGCGAAAAAGAAGTATCAACATTGGCATCATGAGAAGAACTATCCAAGTTAACATCAATGCTAGTGCCATCCATGTTATCACCATTATTAGGAACTTCCTCAATGTTTTCCTCAAGTGTAGGAGGAATGTTCTCTACCTGTGTCTCAGTCTCACCATCATTAGGAACACTAGTATTTTGTGTAGTACCCTGATCAAGTGTTTGATTAACTGGTGGTTCTTTCCTAATAAATCTTTCCATGGCCCCTTTATGAGATTCAATTAGTTCATCGACTCTTTGTTTCTTTCTACGCTTTTGATAGCCGGAATCATATTTCCTATGATGATTTGCCGATGACATGACTTGCATTTGCAATGGAAAGAACAAAATTAATTGATATATTTTAATCAAGACATAGAAATCGACATAATTAAATGATGAAAGATTGAAAGAAGATAATAAAATGAAACTAATCCTTAGTCTTATACCTGCTGGCTGCTCTTGGCCTCGCGCGTGGCCTTGGTGAGGCGATAAGTGGCCACAGCCAGATGGCAGATGGCGATGGCGCCGATGGGCGATGCTGCGATGGCTCTACAGCTGTTGTGGGATGTTGTAATTTATATAATTTTTGTAATTTTCTTTGTATTTAATTTACTGTAAATGGAAGAATGAAGGTAAGATTGGGGAAGAATAAAGAAGAGAGCAAGAGAGAGAAAGTGAGGACGAAGTAGAAATTGCTGATTGATTCCTTTTGTTCATTGCATCACATGCTTTATACTATTTGTTTTTTTTTTTTGGTACAAATGCTTTATACTATTTGGACCCACATAATTTGCCAATACAAATAATAATAAACTCAAAATAATAAATGTTGATATGTGAGACTTCAATTAGTGCCTTTGCCACGTGCCTTGACCAATTCAATTTGTCTTTTCTTCTCCACACCAATTCCATTTTCCCTTTTCTGTATTTCTTCTGCAACTTCCCCAAAGCCAATTTCTTCTCCAATCTGATCTCGAAGGTGAAGCTTGTATTTTGGGGGCCCTTCAAATTTGGGGGCCCTGTGCGGTCGCACAGCCCGCACGGGCCCAAGGACGCCCCTGCGTCTGCGTTTGATGTGTTATTAACGGCAGGTGTTTTGTTTGTATTAATTTTAGAATAATCGACCTTTCGTCATAATGAAGACATACATCAATTTGAAACATGCAAAAGTGCACGCGTGTTAAGCGTACTGTTACTTAGCAAACTTGCTCGCCTACTTAACATTATTGAATTAAATCATGTTGGCTAGTCACATGCTTTAATCTTATGAAACTTCAATCACAATGTGCTCAATTAATCTAATATAAATAAGCTGATGGACATATGATTTACTTAAGCTATGTTCGATAGACAAATAAACTAGTTTATAGTAGACATGGCCACGGGCCGAACCGGCCCGTGGCCCGGACCGCGAACCGGTACCGAACCGGCCTGGACCGGCCATATTCGGGCCGGTCCGTTGGACCGAACCGCAAGGGCCGCAGTTCGGTCCCGGTTCCAGAAAAAAAAAAATTTGCACCGGCGGTCCGGTCCGGGCCGGGTCGGGCCACGGGCGAACCGCCGACAACGGTTATGTCCTTTATTTTATTTTATTTTTATATTATATATGCCGGGTCGGGCCGGGTCAACCGGATCGGCCCAGACCAACCCGGTGTCAGGACCTGCCACAGCCCATACGTGCGTAAGATATCCGTTGGGCCTGGTTGGACCACGGTTCGGGCCGGGTCCATGGGCCCAACCGTCCAAAAAAAAAAAATTAAAATCGGCCGTTGGATCGGAATTGACCGTTGGGATCCAACGGCCCAAAATTTTGGCCCGCCCGACCCGCCGGTACGACCCGGACCCGGCGGGTCCACGAAATAAAAAAAAAAATTCAAAAAATTGGGAAAAAATTTAAAAAACTTCCCAAATTTTCCCTATAAAAACCCCCCTCCCCCTCCACATTTTTCACACAATCACATTCTCATTCTCTCTTCTCTCTAATCTCTATTCTTTTACTCTATATTCTTCTCACTCGGTTTTTAGTGATCGGTTTTTACTTATTAGTTTTGTGTTCGGTTTTGAAAAAAAAAAAAAATACCGAAAAAAAATTCGAAAAAAAACAATAAATAAAAATTCGAAAAAAAAAAAAACCACATCTTTTCATTTATTTTTTTTCATCATATTTTATATTTCTATATAATTTTTCCCAATTTATTTTTTACTCTTTAAATTATAAAATGTCAAGCTCTCGTGGTGGTCGTGGTTCGAATTTCGGACAGAAACGTAGAAATATCGGCACCGGCCCATCTTCGTCGAGACCTCCATTGCCGGAATTTGCGAGTCCATCGATACATGTGGATATTCCCGGTGTCGCCGATGACATTGATGAGGCGACGATCGAGCGCATGTTTGGCTCAATTCAGCCTGAGCAACAAGAGCAACAGCAGCCGTATCACGACCATTTCGATGATATATTTGGAGAGTCCCCGCCGGAGGTTCAGCAACCGACGCAACAGCAACAGCCGGACCCGGAGGTCCCGGACCCGGGCCACCCAGCCTCTGCCTTCGCCCGTGCCAGACCGGCATCTGCCATATTCAAACAACATTACACGAAGGTGGCCAATCCGACAAGAGGTGAGAATCACTTTTTAGCTGTTTGCAACTACTGCCCGGCGAACGACAAGAAGCAATACCATTTCAAAAAAGGCGATGGGTACGGATCGTTGAAACGACACTTAGAGAGGGTTCATCCGACAAAATTGGGAATTGACAGAGCACAGACGCAACTCCCAAGTAGTAGCGCTGCATCAGCCACGATTGGTACAGGTACGCCAACTTTATTTCAGTACTCACATGAAAATCATCGACGCCATTTAGCTGAATTTGTTTCTGCTTCATCTCTTCCGTTTAGCTTTGGTGATAGTGATTTATATGAACATTTTGCTCAAATGGCTTTGAATCCGGCTGCCCACCGGGTTCCACGTACTACTCTTACTCGCGATATTCGAAAAATAGTGGCGGAAAAAAAAGTAATTTTGCAAGAAACTTTTAAATCTTTAAATCATAGAGTATCCATTTGTGCTGATATCTGGTCTGATCATTGGCAAAATAATTTCTATTTGGGAATTACTTGTCATTGGATAGATGAAAATTGGAGTTTACAAAAACGTTTAATTGCTTATGTTGCATTTCATGAACGACACACTGCTTCTAATATTGCTCGTTTAATTTCAAAAATTTTGGATAAATATCAAATAGGTAAAAAAGTGTTTTCCATTTCGTTTGATAATGCTACTGCAAATACTGCATCTATACGTGAACTTACCGATATTTGCACTCCAATTTGCGGCGGAAGATTTTTTCATATTCGTTGTATATGTCATGTCTTAAATCTTTGTGTACAAGCTGGTTATCATGCTTTTAAAGATTAGATCACGCCAATTAGGGACGTTGTTAATTATTTACATAAACGTCCCCATGAAATGAAAGCATGGGGACGTTTTTGTAAAGATCAAGGGGTGAAACCTAAAAAATTTCAACCCGACGTTCCTAACCAGTGGAACTCAACATTTAAAATGTTGAGTGACACGGTTCCGTTTATGACACAATTGCAGGATTTTTCTAACCATTCAAACCGTAAGGACTGTGATGTCCGAGTGTCAACAAGAGATTGGGAGAACGGTAATGCACTTATTCAATTTTTAGAAACATTTCAAAATGCCACTAACATGCTTTCTGGTGTTTATTATCCTACTGCTCAGCTTGTGTTAGGTCAAGCTATAGCCATAATGTGGGCTTTCAAGGATCTTTACAACTTAAATTTTAATAAATATGGCTATTTAGTTGAGGAAATGTTAAAGAAATGGTTGAAATATTATTATTTCATTCCTGATACACATTTAGTTGCATGTTTGTTAGATCCTTCGGTACGTGAAGCTCGCTTGGTAGAGCAGCTTAACATGTATTATAATTATATGTATGAACTCCCAATCCCGACTGATGTCCCAACATACAAAAACCTAACGTACTGCTGCTCGTCGAGCAAGCAAAAAATTTGTTGTATGACATGTTTAAGGAAACATCGATTGCACAAGGTGAACCTCCCAGCACATTCGTTCGTGGCGGCAGGGGCAGCAGCAGCGGGTCTTCTTCTTGCGGCGGTAGTCAAGTAGGCGCTTCGAACTTTCAGGAGTGGTGGGCATCATTAAATCCCTACAAGAATGTTGGCGTTGAAAGGGCAAAGGGAACTGGATACTATGAGCTTGATCACTACCTAACGTCGAATTTGATACTTACGATTGCTCGTGAACCAAGTCCGCCACTCAATTTCGATGTCTTGGACTGGTGGTCGAGAATGCAAGGTATTTATCCTATTCCTTGCCTGATGGCCAAGGAGATTTTCGCCGTCCCAGCATCTACAGTTGCGGTCGAACAAGCCTTCAGCGAGGGAGGTTATATGCTCGACGCACGACGATCGCGGCTGACGCCCGAAAACCTACAAGCACAAATGTTGCTGATGGATTGGAAAAAAGCCGAACGAAGGATGCAAACAGCTATGTACGTAGATGACGAAGCAGACGACGACGATGACGCATCTGATTTTACGAGTACGACGAGTGGTGGAACCGGAATAGGAGATGACGAGTATGACTATTAGAGACCACCAATCGTGTACAGGTAAGTAAATCGAAAGAACTACGTGGACTTTGATTCCCAATATAAGGGATACGTAGGCAACTTAATTGCCATTTATAAGTTAAAATATCATTTTTTTCCCAAAACAAAAAAAAAAGTTCAAGTTATATGATATTTTAACTTAATAAATGTCAATTAAGCTCAAGTCCAATTTTTTTTTTTTTTTATATATCAATTTTAAAATATCTAAACGTGAAAAGAATTAATTTTCCTGTAGAAAACATTGTTCAGAAATTGAGGCAATAATATCAATTAAAATAAGTTAAATTAGATCAATAGAAGGATGTTCTATAATGAAGACAATCGCAGTATCTTAACTTAACTTAACAAGAATTAATTTGCCTCTAGAAAACATTGTTCAGAAATCCAGGCAATAATATCAATTATTCCAATAATGCCCCGTCCACAATCTCCGTTGTTGTATTCTAGACGTATTAGAGAGTGCGACGCAATATCCACAACGGAGATTGTGTGCGTGGCATTATTGGCGTAATTGATGTTATTAGTCAATTTTTTGAATTTCTTGAGTTGTAAGTAAATTAACAAAAAGTACTTGGACTTTTTGACACACCACTAATACGTAGGCACCTTAATCCTTCAGTTAAAATATCAATTAAAATAAGTTAAATTACATCTTTCAGAAAACATTG